GCGTTGACGCCACCGGTGGAGACAAACCCTGTGCGCCCATGGCTTATGCGCAAAATAAAAATAAACAGCGTCTCTGCTGCACCCAGTCGCAATGGCTCATACGGCGACTCGGACAGTGCTCGAAGAAGTAGCGGTATTATCTCCTCCTCCACTGCGACACGAAAGCAGGAAACACATGAGTCCTCTCCCATGTCGCTACATGCCAATAAGAGCCGCTGCAGAGCCTTGACAGCCTTCATTCGCAACGGCAAAAAAGGCTGCGTCACCTGGGCATCAAACTCATGCAGATGCTGAAACGGTTGGGTTAAAATCTCTGCAAGGAATCGCATAAAACCACATTCAAGAGAACGACACAGAACGTAGCGACGGGCATCATACGACTCTGGCTCTTCCGCATCCAAGAGAGTGTCGTACACATCCAATACATCGACGGCCTGTTGTTGCGTGAGCGGGACTCCATCCACCGTAACACCAATCGAAAAAAACCTCACGGCCTTTTCCAGTGCCTCTTGAAGGATGCGAAACGTCTTCTCAGCCTCCTGCATCGCCTGCCAATTGCTGCCGCTCCGTGTTGCTGCCTCACCCCCTACCGACCCCCCTTTCTCCTCCTGCAAGAGGCTCAGGAACCACTCGAATGTCGCTAAGCGAAACTAACGTGTATATGTAGATCTAATTTTTGGCTTTTTTTCACCCTCCCTTCACTCAATTTGGTCACCTCTGTTCACTATTCGTCCAACCCCGCCTATGAAAAAAAAGAGGGCAAGAAGAGGAATAAAGAAGACAGAAACGCTCAACAAAAGCAAATGATGTGTCGTTTCACTCCATGCACCGACAGGCAACAAACGCCCAGTGGAATGTAAAAGAGAATAAATAATTACCTGTTGAAATAAACACACACAGACAACAAACAAAAAGAAACAAACAAAATTCTCTTATATTTTCTTTTTGTTCACTTCTTTTGCGGCGTTGCATATATATATATATATGCATCCGGCCGCAGCTTTTTACACGTCTTGCACAATTTCTCTCGCTCATCGATTCTCCCTTCCTCCCACTGTGTGTTAGCCTGAAAGGTTAGTTTATTCATAGCGTCGTTTGCTCCTCCGCTCGCATGGATGTTTGCGCTCTTCTCTCATCCGCTTCCGAGCCGCCGTCACAGCAGCGATGTCATGACGAAAAATGCAGGAACTGCCTCTCTCACAAATGGAGAATTTAACAAAATTACGACATGCCGGAACTTCGTTGTACGCGCAATGCCAATACGGACACGCACCCTCAGCGAGTTTGCAGCTGCCAGCAAGAAACATACGACAAGGCACTTTTGCAAAGCGTGCAGCTTCTTCAGGGCTAAGATCTGCCTTTGTAGGCCGTGGCCTGCACTCCGGTCTAGCCGGCCGCGGTGCCGCACGAAAACTCTCTCGGATAAATTCCTTGTCCGCCTCGGTGACAAGCGGATAGGCCTCCAGCGCGGAGACGTGGATGACATCAAAGACAGGAAACTCGTTGATGAAAAAAAGGGTACGAAGGGCTTCATTCAATGTGCACGAGGGCGACATACGGAAGTACTTCTGCCGCATTCCCAAACGTTCAGCCCGTGAGAGAATGATGACGGGCTCCATTTCCAGGAATGCCGCAACGGCCTTCTCATTCCGCGCCTCCGCAGGCGAGAGTGGGGTGATGGAGACTTGGCAGGGACTCCACGCTTCCTGGCAATGCGCTTTGTTGTCGAGAAAGACTCGACTGGATGTCGCAACGTTCTCAACCCTCGTCTCTCCCTCCCCTTCCTCCGTCATCGGCTCCTGCCGCCCCTCTTCCCCCACAACCTCCTCGTTGTGCTCCGCGGTCCCGATCCACCTTGAGGCGCGGTTGTACCGCCGGTTGATGTGGAAGCACGGCAGCGGTGGATTCGTGGACCAACAGAAGGCCACAATATCCCCAAGCCGATGGCGCTCGCTGCCCCAGTCGGTAACAACAGTGAAGTCGGGATCGTGAAAGTTAAACTGACAACGCCACGTAATCGTTTCAGTTCTTCTGTCAAAGCGAGATGTGTTCTCATTCCGCTTGGTCATTCCCTCCGACGTGATTTGGCACACGACGCCTCGTTTTTTCGCCGCCTCCCGCAGCGCGTGTAGCGGTGGGGGAAGTGCGCGAAAGGTGTAACGCCAAAACTTTGAAAATCCCCGTCGACAATTACTGATGATCCGACTGACATCCTCCAAGAAATGAAAATCGCGCTGCAGCTGTCCATCTGTAAACTCACTCAAAGACACCTTCTTGGCAATGTCACGCTCTCCCTTGCATTGAAACTCCTTCTTATGCATCTGCACGCAGACGTTGCTGCACGTCCTTGCGCCGCAGCCTGGACATGTGTACACGGCTGCATCGCTACATATACAGCAAATCTTCGCCTTCTTGACTTTTCCTTCAACAGCTTCCTGCTCCGCAGTACACGGCGATCCTAATCCTGTGTTTTCCCCCTCTTGTTGTTGTAGTTTCTGATTCACCAGGTCGCGCGCAAAGGCTTTGCTCAAAGCCGACGCCATGAAGTGCGGCCCTTCATCCTCTTCGTTTTCTTCCCCCTCCGCATAATAATCTTCATGAATCAGTTGACTCTCGTCGGCCTCATTTTCCTCGGGAATCCACTCGAGATCGGCATCCGCCGCGGAGGAGAGACTTCTCATCTCTTCCCCGCTTGTGTCGTCCAATTCCGCATCCAACAGCTCCACCTCACTCCCGTGCATTCCCGCTAGTATACCACAAAACCCCTCAAGAAAATAAAAATCATGACAAAAAAAAAAAAAAGGAAAAAGAAGAAACGGAAAACCTTAAAAAGTAGAAGTTCCAGCCAATTCTTAAGGCAAACTGAGAAGCGTGTCTCACTCCCTCTTTATTTATTGCGACTTTTGCGAGCCTTCTCTGCATCAGCTTTTCCTTCTTCCCTTCACAAGGGTCTTGAGGACAAGGCACCCCTTTTTGCGTCATCTAACTACATATCCAGCAACACACTCAGAGCCGCCAGTTTATGCCTGTTCTCTGGGGAGTGTTGCGGTTCCAGAGGACGCCTTTCCGGGTCTCCATCGTACCTATACTTAAAGTACATCATCTCCAGCCCAAGCTCCAGCAGGTCACCGCTAATTTCTTCCAACGTGATCGTCTCGTGATTCTCTGTCCCAATGGTTGTCATCTCATATGCCTCTGGGGGTGTATTGACGCTACTGGTGACGGCATCGCCGTTATGACTCTCCTTTCGCATTGCAGACCGAATCACCCCACTCACCATGGCGCAGTTGCGATCCACCAAGAACAGACGGTCATCCGCAGTGCGCAGGCATATCATGTAAGACTTTTCAAAAGCAATCGGTGAGACAACAGACGGCTCCGATGGCGGTGCCGCACGTGCCTTTTTCGACATGACCCTCCACCTGCAGCGGAGTGAGGGGCGGTCACTACACAACCACAACAGGCAGATTAAAAAAAAAAAACATATTGTTTTACCGCCATATTTACATATAAACAAAATGCGACGCATATTTTTTAGAGGCATCGCAACAACGACAACAACATAAAAAGTCCACTCCCTCTCAAGCATGTACAAATAGAATGAGGCAGGCGTACAATATATATATATATATATTGTACATGTATTAGGTATATACGGCAGAATACAATCAACAGCAACAATAAACTCACCTCTCCTCCGCAGGATCTCACTAAAATAAAATTGACAAAATACTCTTTTACGGGCCTCATTTCCTTTCTTCCCCACCCCCCTTCATTCCACCCGTAAAAACTTGTACATAAGTACCAGCCATATTCGTGGCGGCACGATCGTGTGTCCATCTTTAGCTTTATTTTCATTTTTGTCACTCTCCCCTTTCTGCGGGATATCCACTGCTGAGAATACTCGGCACATACATATACTCAAAGTGTGTGTGTGTGCGGATCATCAACACTGAAGCGTCTCTGCGACTTTCATCACCTCCAGTGCGGCCTCCACCGGGATATCAAAAGACGGCCGGCCCTCCGTTTCCCCCTCGTAGCGGTGTTTGTAGTACATGTATTGAATAATCACCTCTAATCGCGCTGCCGTTAGGGTTGGGAAGTGAATAGTGGGCGGGCTCTTCTCGGTCTCGCCCCAGCTGATGGCTACGGCAGGGAGATCGAGCTCAACACGGTCGGCAAAACACTTCCGAATGAGTGGTGAGGCGCGGGCACAGTTGCAATGCACAAGAAAATTATGGCCATCCGCCGATGTCATTTTGATGTAATCATCGGGAATTAATTGAAACGTGTCGATGTGCGGTGGCGGTGGCGGCGTGCGGCGCATGGGGTTGAACGCCGCCCCGCTACGTATCATCGTTCTTGTCCTTCCACCTGCCCACTCACCCACTCACCAACCAATAAATGGATGCACACGATGACTCTCACACGTAGTGAGTGGAATCCCCTCCGCAGTGAACTGCCGTGCCAGTCAGCACGTAAGTATGCGCTGTCACAAGAAACAACAGAGCAGAAAACAAAACAACAAAAACAACAAAAAAGAAATAAATGTAATATTACATTGGAGAAATATAAAAAAAGTACGCGGGAAACACAGTTGATACTTCTTCTGCTGTACATGTATCCTTGTATATATATATATATTGGGAATAACAGGAGCTGAAGGAAATGGTGCCCATACACACGTACACAAGTGCATGCATGTCTGCAGTCCCGCCAGGGTACAAACACAAACAAACGCACGCAGTAACGGCAGCAAAAAACAACAACAGCAACAAAAAAGCAGCAGAAATAAGAAGAACAACAACAACAAAAAAAGAGGCATTGCGGTAAGATAGGAGGAAAAAAAAAAGAAAAAAATTAAATAAAAATTCCTTTCTCAAACATAGACGTTAAAATTAAGACAAACACACAAACAAAAACAACAACAACAATTAAACAGATGCCCCTCTGTCTTCTCCTCTACCGCAAAAGAACACAATCACACAAACAAACAACATCTACGAGGAGTTTACCTCACGGCCGTTCCTCTCCTCCAAATCATCATGCAGTTCCCATGCAGGACGAAAGGTGCCGTCGCCGCGGCGCAAAAGAACGTTCGGCGCCGTCGCTCCGCGGAGACCGAGGGACGTGTATCCCATTTTGTACAAGATGCAGAAGGGAAGACTGTACGCAAGAATATACCCCCATATGTCCTCATACCCCCAGTGAAAAACCGGGCAGGCACGCAGCATCTCTGGCCATCCAGCCGTTGTGGGCTCCACGCTCTTCTTTTGATGCACACTGTCACTGCTGCGAGTCCCCATAAAAACAAGAGCAATTCCTTTTGATTCCTTCAGTTGCGCAAGACCGTCCTTCATGGACAGCGATACATCCGTCTTTACTCCAGTCAGTCCATGATTTTCAAGATATGCTTCCCTGAAGGCGACCACTTCGCCAAATTCTTCCCTTCCAGAAGCCCCAAGAGTAAACACGCAAAACCTCGACAACATCTCAGGTCCCAATGCACACTCAAGAAGGTCCATCATAACAACGGAGTCCTTGCCGCCGTTGAAGGCAACGCCAATTTCCTCAGGCTTGAACCGTCCCGCCACTTCTCGAATCATGTCAATAGAAGACTTGACGAGAGATTGAGCGGGCCTTTCCAATTTCGGATCGTCCCCACAATTATCAACGACAAGTTCCATTTGCCCCAAACGCGTCAATTCACGCAGTTGCGCTTTCGTTACTGGCGTTCCTGACAAGACAAGTTTTCGGAGCGTCGTTTGTGTTTGCCCCAAAGGTCCAAAACATCGCACCCGTCTACAGTCACGGATGTGCACCTCCTCCAACGTCGGGACAGTCGCCAACGCACTCAAATCCGTCACACGGTCACAATTCTCCAGTTCCACTCGTGTGAGAGCATGGTTCATGCATGCTTGAGCCACGTCGATATCTGCCACATCCGTGCCCACTAGTTTCAGGGATCGCATCGCCAGAGTCCTACGAGCGTCTTCTTCCGTATTTTTTTTTTTTTTGTTTCCCCGCTCCCTCAGTCCTCCCTGCGCCGATGTGTGTGTGTGTGTGTGATAAAGAAGGTTTAACGAACCCCACATCAAAAAAAAAAGGGAGGGAAAAAAAAAATAAAAAAAATGCCACACGCATTGGATCCCAACGCGATATCAATAAAAACAACAACAATTAATCCACAAAGAAAAAAAAAAAAAAGAGAACGCCCAGAAGACCTTTTGTTATTTTAACAGACACCGTCTCTTGTCGCACATTCCTTCCACGGGCTTCTAGAAAAAGCGTTTCACAGAAACCCCTCCCTCCCAAAAAAAAAAAAAAAAAATAATAAATAAATAAAAAACAAGCAAACAACAAATAAATAAACAATCGAATCTTTTTGCGTCACCTCATTGTTGAAGGGTTATATGCGGCATACAAATAAACCAAATTCATATACACATAAACTCATATTTCGACACCGAATATTATATTATATATATATATATATAGACTTATAACTCGAGATACCAGGGATTAGCACGACACTCATAGAAGTACAATCTACGGCATATTCATGTACGCATTACAATATCTATGCCATACAGCGCCTCAGAAACAAGCCAAACCTGGTACAATGCCTTTTCCCCTCCAGGTAGCCAATATTCACGTAGGTTAAACATGCAAGTTAACACCATCATACCACTCTTAGAAAAAAACAATGGCCAGTAGCATGACACACACAACAATAATGGGAAAATAAATTGCTGTTGCCGCAGAAGTGGAGGAGGCAATGGCACATAAACGATGAGCTCCCATCCAGCCGTCAAGACACAATTCAGCTATCAACTTTGGGTGCCTGCACTGCTCCAATAGTGCGGTGCGGTCAATCCACATGCGCATCGCCAAGGGGCAGTCTCTGCCAAAACAATCAAGGATTCGTTGGGCCGAAACACGGCATGCCGGAAAAAATGAGTTAATATTCTCCGCACACTTCACCCGTTCTTCGCATAATCTCGAAGAATTTTTTGTAAATTCTGACGCACTGCGTTTCGTTTCTGCCGTTACCGGTTCTTCTATCATATTACTGGAATAATGAAAGGACTCGGAAGAAATATTTCTTTCCTTATCCCTACACAACAGAATCGCCGCAGGACAGATTATTTTGCCCTGAACGCCTCTCAAATGAGATGTGTCTGCCTCGCCCGCAGTGCCATTCAGAGGGCATGGCACGGTTTGCCCCTGGACACGTAGGAGGATCTGTCCAGACTTTGTGCAGACCATCGGAAAGCACCGGAAACCGGTAGAAAAGAAGGGCGACGCACCAGTCACTAGGTTCGATGAAAAACAACGACTATGTTGCCCCATTTCATTACCAAGAAAATTCGGTACTTCTGCCGTGACCTCACTAATGCAGTTCCAATTGGAGTACACTTGGACAGACGGACAATAGTCCATTAGTGGTATGCTTCCACCCATTCGTGGATCAGTAAAATACCGGTAATCCACTGGAAGAACCGCATTATGCCTCATAATGTCACACGACCCCATTCCTAGAAAGTCATTTGTACATGAAGTTTTCATCGCGTTGCCATTACCAAAGCAAAATTCATCCACGTCCTCGTCTTGATCGTTACATTTATTGTAGAGGAATCGACACGAGCGGTTCCTTCCCCATCGAAAGTTATCCTCCGCCATACTGTAGTTGATGGAGTAGTACCCAAGATCCTCCAAGTATGCAAGTGTGAAAGATGAGTAAAAGAGATTCGCTGATGTGATAGATCCAACAAGTGCCTCCTCGTACAATATACGCTTTTTCCAGTGCGAGCCTGCTGTCCCGGATTTGCCGCCATCTTCAATTTCCACCCCGTCAAGTGTGGGACAACCAAAATGCTTCCGCGCCACCTCGACAACCTTGGGTGACGTGACCAGTGTCACCACCTTGCCTAGTTTGGGTCGGAGCACACGCGCGAAACCCGGCACTACTTTCCCTCCCGGCCCCACATGAGATTTGGCGTTGGTGGCAAGGTCCGTAAAGCCCAGGGCGTGCGTTATCTCGTGCATCGCCACGTGGATGTCATTCTCCGTGGCGTATTCACCAAAAAAAGAGGGGATGAAATTAGCGTGTCCCACAGAAGGCCGGCCTGTGGAGATTCTTTCGCACGAACGGGCCCAGGCTATCACACCACGCGCACTTGACCGTGGGTTGGCTGTTACAAACAAAACGTAGTCCTTCTCTGTAACTCGCAGGGAAGAGTGGCCCAAGAAGGGGCAACTTTCTGCCATAACATTTAATTCGTCCAATGGGTCCACAAGAATTGCCTGCTCCAAAAAATTACACGCCCTTTTCACCATAATTTTTATCATCCGGATCTTCTTCGGCGTCAAGATGTCATCGGCGGTGCACCTCACTTCATCCCCCAAGAAGTTGGGGACAAATTGTCCAACGCCGCTGCAAGATTTATTTAGAAGAAAAATGACGTGAAAACGAATGTCCTCACGAGCGGCAGTCATAAAAACCGAAAAGACTTTCATATTTCTGATGCCACTCCTGTACGTCACATCTGTGTAAGGGAGCGCATTATATGGGATCGCCACTTCGTCGTGTACACACTTGTGCTCGCGGAGCCCGTCCTCCGGTCTCGTCTCATAGGCAGCAGCGACCGCCATGAGGCACAGAAGCGTACATGTCGCCAGCCAAAATACATCGGAAATGCAAAACGGCCCTTTTCTCAACATTTCACCGCCCTCTTGCCTCTCCTTTTGCAGCAGCAATAAAAGAATAAATTTCTTCCAGCAAACCAAACCAAACCAAACCAAAACAAAGAAGAAAAAAGATCCATATGATACGAATTTACGCAACGTCAAACATGAACATTCGTCCATTATGCCGCTGACCAAAAAAGAAAAAAACACAAGTAGTGAAGGGGGAGGATTTCTTCTCTGTGATGGGTATAACACGTTGACACATGAGAGCTTAGTGGAAGGAAGGAAGAAACAAACAAAAGAACAAAAAAGAAAATGCTCATTCTCTATCCCTCTCCCTCTCTCTCTCTTCCAAACACACACACACACACACAAGCAGTAATCAATTCAATGAAGATGTGTCCTTAAAAAGAAAACACTGCAGAAGCTTCAGAGGTAAGACTACGGCTTTGTTGAGGGGGACCGGTTCACGCGACTTAGGCGCAGCGGAAGCAGCGTCGTCCCGGGGCGGCAGTTATATTGACACCGCCACCGGCGCAGCGGGAAACTCAGCATACCTGTCGTGAATGCCTGGATGAGATGGTAAATCAACGAGGGAAGGAGTATCACAGCCGCCTGGCGATTCTCATGAAAGATTTGAAGAATTATTGGGACAACAAGTACCTCCGACTTTGTAATGAGGGCAAAAAATAGCGCAATCCGCTCTTCCGGTGAGCAGGCAAACAACGAAGTCAGTAACCAGCCCACAATGCACATCACGGTGTACAATGTCAACTCCACAAAAGATATCAGTCCGACGCCTCGCCATGTCAATAAACTTGGGGCGATTGACTGAACAAAGAATGAACTAAACATGAAGTAGTTAACTAGGAGTAACACAAGGCTATTGAGCTGAACGGCCCGCTGGCGCCAATAAAAGAGACTACCATTGCATAGTTCAGAACATGCCATCTCCGCCTTAGCGATACGTAAAGACTCGCGATCTTCCCCAGTGATACGTCGATGTGACGCCCAAGCAAATATTTTTTGTGCAACAACGCCAAAAAAGAATGGTCCAATGGCAGTGGCAGGAAAAAGCATCAAGTCTGCGGTAACTGGAAACTTGCTTGAATACGAGAATAACATGCATGCCAGCATTAGCAATGGGGATGCAATCACACCACACACGATACCAACCGCACTCAGGTATTGTGAAAGAGCCTCATTCCCTTGCGAAGAGCGCGTTGCCGCCACAGAAAGAATCACGGACGGGGGCAAACAAAAAGTGCACATTAAACCAACCAATAAGTAGTTGTCCTCACCGCTGCTACTACGAAAAATAACATATATGGCTGCTCCCAAAATGGGAGACAGAATAAAGCTCATTACAAACATTGTGATGGTGGGACCCATAAATCGCAGCGTGGCACTCCTGTCAATGTCTGGAAAGGACGCACCACTGAGTGCAAAGGAAATAAAAACAAGGATACGCGTCCACGCACTGGCGGCTATGCCTGCCGAGACAGGATGGTAATACGCCATGCCAATACTCAAAATGAAGAGCCCGAGTAACCATTGGCCACGCACCCAATCTACCACCGACAAAGACCCAACTACGAGACGCACAACCCTTTCATTCGATCCTGCGATGAATCCCACATCCTCCCCGGTGCATGAAGAAGAGAGGTCCCTGATAGACTGCGCCTCCGGGGAGGGTCGCCATATCTGCGAGCTCTGTCCCTCTCCCCTTCCCCCCCCACTGCTCATTCCTCCTTTTAACTCTCCTGTATCAAAGCTTGTAGTAAAACCTCGGCACAAGGCTACTACACACACACACACAAAAAAAAAAGACACAAGATATAATAAAAATAAACAGAGGGGCATTGCATGGCAACAAATTCGGGCACACACACACAAACGCACAGAAATGTGTGTAAAGAACAACAAAGCGCAAAGACGCCCCAAAACCTCAACACAGAAAAGAACATTAAGATCGCACATATATATATATATACAAGTGCGTGTAGGCAAAGAATCACACATTCTCCTTAAGACTAAAATCGGTTGCCAGACACAGAGCCAAAAAAGGACTCACTGGCAATATTACGGACTCCGCACACAAACGTAATAATCCATCAGCCTCCGAGAACTGCTCCCAGAGTGCCTCGATGTGCTTGCCAAGGCTGTCTGCAACGACGCCCTCCCATGCTGCCTGACCAAGTCGCATAAATTTCTCGATAGAGACACGAGCAAGGTCAGGCAATTTCACTGAATCCCGCAGCCATCGTCGGGTACAGAGTAGAGAGAGATAGTAAACATCCACACCCTCACAGCGCATACGCTCCTCCAGGTACGGGAAGCTTTTAATAAGCCGCTCTACAACACCGGCCGCTAAATCCATGCAACGCCCGTACGCCTCCCACCGTGACGTGGGATATTTCTTAAAGGCCGCTACCGCACGAGACACATCTCCCCCATGTAACTGAAGCAAAAGTTGCAGAACGGGAAGTAAATTGGTTTCCCGTTCCTTATCTCCTCTCTTCAAGCCAATAATGTCTTTCATGGCGCCTAGCTCCTTTTCTCCAACGTCATGCAGCACGGAAGTCTCGTATGTATCAACATCGATCTGTAACGGGACCTCCTGCGCCGTTCCGAATCGATGTACAAGAATGGCAGCGAGGTGTTCAGAGCCAACACCGGTTAACAAAAACTGCAAGAGGTGCCAAACCGGATCATGCCCCCGTCTTTCAGCCAGCAGCCTTTTCAATGAATCCTGCAAAATATATTCCTGACTGTGATTGCCAGATTTTCGCACCCTCGTCAACCTATTCATGCTAAGAACACACAACAACAGCAACAGAGAATCTTCACCAAATGGCTTGTCTGGCATCGACACGTTGCTGTCGTAATTCACCCAATACGTTTGGAGCTGCTGCGCCAGCTTTCCCGTCACATCCAACTCCGCCACGCTCGGTGTTTGGGACAATGGGCTCAGCGTGGCAATCCATAACCTGACCGAAAGTATTGTTGCAAGCATGCACTTTTGATTCAATTCTTGTGCGGGGATAGCGTGAGGCATGTGAGTAATGGAGTCGAACTCCTCTACGGGGATGGCAAGAAGGCCGCCCTCCGTGACATCCTTGTCATCCGTGAGGGACCGGAGTACTTCCGTCGTGGCAAGAAACAAACCAAGACGTGCGCAGGCATTCGTGCACCATCGCATGAGCAGCCAACAGGCGGTAGGATTCAAACTCACTGGCGGTTGTTGTTGTTTTTGTTGTTGCTGCCGCTCTTGTTGCGACCTCGACGACGCTCGGCTGGCAACAGCGCAAATGTTCAAAAGAAGAGCCACGTAGTTAAGAGAACCTGCATGCTGTTCATCTTCCAAGACTTCCTCAAGGCCACGCCAGGACGAAACGGAGTAACTTATGGCAACAAGATGGCCCTCATCCCACGGCGATCCCACATGCCTCTCATCTCGGCACATGGCTTGCACGGCACGTGCAACCACTTTTGGCAAATCCGCTGCGTGCCAACGCAAAATTTCCCACCAGAAATCACCAACTACAATTTTGTGTGCGGCATTCTTCCTCGTCCATTTCTCCAATCGCCTAAGAAGGTGCTCCTCGAGGGATCGCAGATGCGTCGGCAGCAGTCGGTAACTTTTGCCCGGGTCATACGCGGAAGGGATTGAAAAGCACAGCAGGAGCCTCAAAAGTCGTCCCACAGACTCCTGCACTTCACTGTACTCCTGCGAGAGCAGAAAACTGTGGACTTTACCAAAGTGCTCGTGACGCTTTTCGGTGTGTAGACCACGAAGACAGCGATCGACGCACGCCATGGCATCCTCCACAAGATCATCTAGCACGTGTTTGTTTAACAGAGCGTCCACCAGTTTGTCAAAGATACGTGTCGAGGTCCATTCATCACCGGGCTCCTTCATCCAAAGAGGCAACATAATCAACATCAGCCCAACAGCGTGTGGTGCCGGCATGGCAGCCGTTAGCTTGTTGATCAGTTCCGGCTCTCTGCTCGGAAGCGAGGCAATGTCACGGACGAGAGAGGGGCGCACCAAAATATGTTTCAGCCACCTTGCTTGCGGATCCATCGTGTCAAAGCTTGCAAGATGATCAGCGATAACGCGCAGGCCCTTTAAGACCAACTGGGCAATTTCATCGTCCATAAAGCCCACAATATTCTCCGCAGTACAAAGAAGAACTCGATGAAATAATTGCAAAAGAAAATCCTTCAAAATTGGCACGCCCTCAAATGGCTGCTGGATTTCCTTGGCAATAAAGTCCAGAAGCAGAAGCTTCCGTTGGGGTGTACATCGACTGTAGATCAACTCCACAAGCGTGAGGACTTCCCATGATGTCGATGATGATGATTTTTTCCGCAGCTCCACACACATGAGCAACGAACTCACCCAGGCTTCCCAATGATCATCAAAGACGATGGAATCCAACTCCGTGTCAATAACTTCGCGTAGTGCCCGGACAAATGCCCCTGGCTTTCCCTTTTCTATGGGAAGGCCCTCCTCCACCCACTCCCGCACACAAGTCTCGAGGAACCCACGGGCGTCGCTGCAAGGGGTTTTCTCTTCCAACTGTAGCTCCTCCCAGGCCCCGGTATGGCCGGCGTCAAGAAACAAAACATTACTCGGTGTGTTTGTGTCGGTTTCCAACGTTTCGCCAGGCGGTGTGGTACTATCGTCCCCTTCAACAGCATACATATTTTCCAGTATTTCTTTCCACTCCCCGCGAATTTTCTCCATGGCTTCTTGGTTGCTTAAAAGAGCATCACGCAGGTTAACGGGCTCATTGCTCGCCCCCGCCACGTCGTTGCCACCTGTCTTCTTTATCAAGTATGCATGTTTCTTCACAAATAGTCGTACGGCATCCCGCAAACCTTTTACGGCAGGCAACCCACCTAACACGGGATTGCCAGAGCTAAAGAGCGCCTCTAAACTTCTCTTCACTTCCTCTTCTTCATTCTCTTCCTCCTTCCTCTTTTTGTGGTATGGTCTCTTTCCTCCCTCGCCCAAGCTGTTTGTAATGACGGCTTCACACAAAGCCTTCAAGCTTCTTGGCCTGTCTTCCTGTGGACTTTTCATGTGTGACGTGGAGTGATACAACTTTTCATGAAGGGAAGACCTACATGTTGATTGTTGATGTGCGTCCCAGTTGAAACCGACAGGAGTAAAGAAGAGCAATGGAAAGAGAGAAAAAGAGAAGAAGAAGAAAAAAGAAAGTTTGGCCTCGACAAAAAGAGAGTCAGCCAAGGCCTTCTTCAATGAAAAATCTGGTCGTGTAGCCACAACTTACAGGTGCGTTCCAGCGAGGGTTTCACGTCATTCGTTTACATGACCGCCCACCGAAGGACGCTCCTCCCCACTCCCGCTGCTTTCATTCTTAGTTCCTCCTCCTCCTCCTCCTACAACAACAACAACAGAGTCGGCTACCACCTTCTTTCTACTCCATCGCAATTGCCAAGGCCCGATGGCTCTATGCGCAAACAAACAAACACGCATACCATTACAAAAGAAAAAAAAAACTACTCCCATGCAGACAAGTGCGATAAATCTCCCATTCCCACAGCCACACCCACATAGCAAAAAAAAAACAAAGATAAATGAATGAACCCCCTCCTCCCCCTTTGCACTAATTTCCTAAAAGGCTTCAAACACGAAGCATCTAATTTTTTCCATTCACGATTCCCTCTCTTTCAGGACCGCGATACAAGTACTTAAACTCCGGACGTTCCTTCACAAGTGGCACTGTCTCATCCTTTGGTATCTCATATGTAAACGGAGACTCGGCAAAAATATTTCGCAGTGGTGTGGCGGTAAGGAAGTAAGGGTTCTTGCGTGGCGGGTAGTTCGTGCAGGTGTTGAACATGGGTGCCCACGCAGGAAAAAGACAGGCCGAAAAAAAGCTCCAATTTTCACCCGGACGGATGCCATACACATGGTAATCAAAGCGACGACACCATTCCTTCTTGTATTTGGCGTATTTCTCCCATAAAACCTTTTTGCGTTCCAGTCGTTCCTTGTCTTCCATGACACCATACTTTCGACATTCATAGTCATTGGGGAGATATCCAGTAAGGCGATACATGCTTCGGTAGAAGAAACACAAGTCCATAGAAAAAAATGTCAACAGTGTAATGGCTGAGCGTGACATGGGCATCATGCGTGCATTGCGTGTTGAGGCCTTGGAGCGGATCCAGTAGCCGTACGCGAGAGCCACCGCGACGGAGATGGCGTGCTCGTACCACCGCACGGACTTGCCAACGTCAAATATCCCTGGGGTGGTGTCCACCACCGGGAATGGAGTACCCATAATGTGGTGTGCTAAGCGGAAATTGGTGTAGTCCGAGTTTGTAAGTGATTTATAGACGTTATCACGACGCTCCACCGACAATGTGGATCGCCAGAGCTGAAATGACTTCCATGCGAGTAGCTCCTGGTCAGAAAGCTCACGCTCTGTGCTGGGAGCGCATCTGGTATGCTCTACCGCTAAAAAGATGGGCTTGCCCTTAATGTTGACGCCGCCCGGCCCAATTTCCTCTGCAGTTGCCATCGGTGCACGTGCCTGAGCTCCGGTTGGAGCGGTGTACGCAAGCCGCGTGTATTTTCTGCCTCCCTCCCTTCTGCCACAGAAAAAATTTAAAAAAAAGTAAAAGAAAGAAACACAAACAAACAAATAGATGCAACAACAAGAAAAAGGAATCGGATACAGAGCGGTAACGTTCATTCACCCAATTCCCTTTTTTCTATCGCTGCTTTCCCAATTAATTTCCGATGCCCACCGTCGCCACGCCAGTACCTCCCAAAATAATAATAAAATAAAAAATGGCACCCACCCGTGCGGAAAAAAAAAGAGATGGAGAGACTCAAATAAAAAACAACAACACACACACACACACACAAACGTGATACAAATGGAAGTACGGCCTTATCGTTCTGCGGTACCATAACAGTCCCCCCACCTGTGTTGCTCTCGAGTTGGCAACACGGGGTGATAAGAAAAGGCCTTGACAGCACTCAAGCCCGTTTTCCACAACAGTTACACGCCCTGGCGGTACTGCGGGGAGGGGGGACGAAACTGAACTACAAACAATGAAATCCCTCTTCGCTTGACTGTTTGGTGTACCGTAAAAGGAATGCTCCTCAATCCCCACGTAGAGGCAGACGGGATGGCACGGTGCATGGATTTATATAAAATTTTTTCGTTTTTTTTTTTTTTTTTTTTGGGGGGGGGGTAGGTATCATGCGGAAACAAAAAACAACAACAACAAGAAGAAAAGGAAGACAACATATTTTTGAATGTCGTTAGCCTCCCTTTTGTCTTCGCTTTCTTTTATTATCAATGCTTTACTCCTTTGCGTGCTTCATTGTTCTTCTTTTTTTTTTTCCCTTTTTCTTTTTCTCCTTTATTTCCTCCCTGTCACACAAAATCAATGATATCCAAAGAGAGAAAACAACTATGTTGGTGTATTTATCACGCAAAACCATTCCCGCTTCCTTCTCGACTGCACAGACGCGGAAAAATACATGCGCACATTCAAACACTGTATTGTTTGTTCACATTTCCTTTGCGCAGGTTAATTGGCCCGGAAACTATCCAGGGACGCAAAGGCATTCGCCAGCTCCTCATTTTTCTTGGATCGGCCCCAGCGTTTCGTCTCGGCCATAACACGCGTAACCTCGGGAATGATTGCCTTGGCATGGTCGACATTGAGAAAGGACAGTCGTGTACGGCGGGCAATAAAGTCCTGCACACGCTCACAATGTTCCCGTTGCGCCGCATATATCACCTCGGCCTCCACGATGGGCTCATCCGGGTGTAATTTCTTCAGCGCCGCCGGGTTGCGACGCACCATTTCAAGAAGAACGTTGTAACGATCTCCGTACTGACTCCTCCAATGACGATGCACGTCTTCAGGGATGTCACTTGGCGCAGCTGCGGGGACAGATGCCATGTTATGAGCTCCAATCAATTGTATCTCCTCCGTTACACACGGCTTGAAGGGGATGCGGTCTTTCAACAGCGTGTCCCATAGACTATCCACGGCGTCCTGGGCAATTTTGCGATATGTCGTCCATTTGCCTCCTGTAACGCTAAGTATGAGGCGGTCTTTATCCACAGCGATCATGTGCTCACGGACCATGTTTTGGGTACTGTTTTCTGAACCCCCGTTCAACGTTGCCAGGGGACGAATACCACTCCATGCCGACAACACCGCCTCCCGCGGCACTTTTCCCACGTAGTCTTCCATGCTGTCGAGAAGAAAACGCACATCTGCCTCTGACGGTCTCACATCCTCCGTGACCTCGCACTTGTTGTCTGTTGTTCCAACGATGCAGCCACCAAGCCAAGAAACGCCAAAAACAACACGGCCATCGGTGGACGGGAAGACCGTGGCACCCTCCTTTGGACAATACTTGGGCTCAATGACAATGTGAGTTCCGGAGCTTGGCACAATACTTAACGTGTTCTTATCCTCCATTAGTTTTTGAACCTCTTCACTAAACGGTCCACCGGCGTTTAGGACAGTCCTGCTGTACACCGTAAACTTATGTTGCTTTACACGATCATTGACAACGGACTTTACAACCTTTTCGCCTGCAGTGTTTTGAACAATCTCCATTTTTTCCACCTTGGCGTAGTTAGCCGTGGCTGCTCCATGGCTGGCTGCTGTCATGGCAGCCGAAAGGCATAAGCGAGAGTCATCCATCTGCCCATCATAATACTGAACGGATCCATACAATAACTCTCCTTTTTTGTTCGCGTACCGTATTTGGGGAAATTTTTTCATGGTGTCATAAGGGGTGAGGAATCCGGAATATTTAAGTGTGCCGCGTTCCCACATTGCTATCAAATCATACAGCTTTGCGCCACACCAGAACATAATAAAATCGATCGGATCGTAACAGGGAATCATGGTAGGAATTTCATGGCATAAATGTGGTGCTTGGTGAATCATAATAGTGCGTTCTCTCAGTGCCTCCGCCACCAATTTCAATTGCTGTACATCAAGGTGAAAGACGGCCTTCTCAAGGTAGCGAATACCGCCGTGGATCAGTTTGGTGCTTCGGCTGCTTGTTCCACTCGCGTAGTCATTCATCTCAACCAGGCCCACGCTCAATCCACGTGTCACGGCATCAAGCGCCGAGCCAACACCAACAGATCCACCGCCCACGATGAGTACATCCATCGGAGTTTCAGGGGAATCAAATGCCTTGAAACGAGTCAAGCACTCCTCGCGGGAGGGATTCTCTGTACATAAAGGGGGAAGCGTCTTCCTGGAATCAAATCTTCGTCGTGTCCAGCTGGGGTTCGTGTAACTAAACCCGATGAAACCCGCCACAGCGGCCGTGGCTGCTCCCAGACACTTTCTTGCAGCGCTCACCATGATTTTGACGGAAATGAACTGTCTTGGGGAGAGCCTCCTGTTATTTTCTTGTGCGTGTGCAGAGGTAAGGGAAATAATAATAACAACAATAAAAATAATAATAGTAATAAAAGCCAAGAAAAAAAAAAAACCAACAATAACATTGTAGCAACAACGAAAAATACAAAACAAAGAAGATGCAAAAAAAAAAAAATCCCCCTTCTCCAGCTGCAAAAGGCTCGTAAGGGAAAAAGAGGAATCAAAAGTCCATGTTAGGCTCAATCCAATTCCAAGCCGCATCCTACAGCACTTACAAAAAAAGAAGAAACCGCAACAAAACAACAACCGGACTCATTTAATCAAAGTTTGCAAAATACGATAAAGAAGGTATCAAAAGTCAAGGCAGGAATTGTGAGGGAACTCAGTCACCTTCTCGGCCACCCTCAGCCATTTATGCAATATGCAAGCCTGCACTATTCATTCGGCGAGTAATTCATTTTCTCTCAACATTTACACTCCAATTAAATATCCTCGGTTTTTTTTTTTTTAATCTCATCTCTGATTTACGTCTTGTTTTTCTCTCGCCTTACCCCTTTCTTCCACTGCCTCTCACTCACTTGCCGTGTGTGTGTGTGTGTGTGCGCCAGACGTATGAAGGCGCATTTCGTTCCCTTTTCGTTATTTTCTTTTCGGCTTTAAAAAAAAAAAAAGGAAACGAGGATTGTCACGCCCAGCGTTTTGAGCGCTTGTACCGCGGCCCCGATGCCACGGTCTCTTGAACCGTACCGTCCAAATTCGCCCCGGCAGCTGATGGGTGGAGTTTTCCCGGAGGCGCTCCACGGGGGACGTCAGACGGTGAAATTACTGCCGAGAGCTTCGGGAAAAGTCGGCGGTCTGCTGAGGTGTGTGTGGCGACTGCGTATGGCCACGACACCAAGTTGGACGCTTTCTCACAAAAAGGCGATGATGGCCGCGCCCTGTCGTGGTTATTCATCAAATTCTTCCTCCCCCATTTCTCATCAAGAACGGCAGATGGCATGGGAGAGGTAGAAAAGTCATACGTCGGCACTACAGAAACGTGCACAGGGGTTTTCGCGCCCTGCTTAGGTTTTTTCCCCCAAAACTGCATAGGCCGATTCGTAGAAACAAAACCATTTATAAATGCCGCAGGAAAAGGCGTCTCGGACTGCGCCCGCGATTCTCCCGAAAGCAGCAAAAGACGCGGGGTAGTTGAGCACTGGGTGTCAATTCCTGAGGGTGAGCGTGGATGATTCTGCAGGTCCGGCCCAATGTCGTGCGTTGTCGTAGAGAAATTTGTGGGGTTCATGTGTGACGAATGCGAGCGACCCTGCTGTTGTCTGGATTCCTTTGCCACCACGTCGTGCAGCGCCATTAATTGACTTACCCGCGCCCTCTCACGTTGCTCCCGACATCCGGACATTCGTGTTGCCATACCCTCCTTATCCCGAAACTGTCGCTTGAAGGACTTCCAATAAGAGCGGTTCTTCTGCTCCAACGCTCGCCTTTCCTTTATTTCGTCGCGTTGAATAACTTCCATGGCCTCCATACACCTGTGTGACATCAAAACCTCCCTGTAGAGAACCTCCAGCTGCTGCATCGCACGCCGTAACCCATAGGCACGCCACAACTGGCTCCGTTCCTCACTCTCCACACTCCGAATCTGTGCACGCCGGCCAAACTCCACTTCGAGCAGTTCCCCCAAAAGCATTGTGAAGAACAGCCGCTGTTCCTCTCGGAAGACACAGCGAAGCCCCTCAAGGTACAACGTGGCCTCTTGCAGCATACGCTCTCGTGCCGCCAAATCGGCATCCACTAAACGCCGGCGTTCTGTTGACTTCTGCACCTCCCAGGATTTAATTAGTTCAACATGTTTCTTTAAAGCTATTTGCAGTCCCTGCACCAACCGAATTGCTTCACAATGGATCTGCACCTTCTCTTCCTCGCACTCCTCATACAACGCCGCAACCCGCTGGGAAAACAGTGCCAGCTGTTCCTTGCGCCAACGCGCCTTTGCCTCCCTCAACTCGACGGAACGCTTCATGTACGCACGAAACTCTTGTGTGAGCAGCATGGCAAGTCGCCTGCACTTCTGTTCGCAGTGTTCGCGATTCGCGTAAACCCTCACAAGGTATGCCCTTCCGCAGCTCTGCAGCCGAAGACATAACTTTAAAAGCGATTCGTTTCTCAGGCGTTCCACGATGGGGAAAGCCTCCGCCTTCATAAACACCTTCGTCTTCCCCAGTTGTGCAATGGCACGGCTATTTATACCGCACGCGATAAGGATCATTTGCGCCAATTCACGACCACTCTTTCCCTGAGCCTTGGCCCCAAGTATAATGTTATAGCGCTTGTTAAACTTCTCAAAGATATTTCGCACAGGATATCCTGCTTTGCGTATTTTCACAGTTCCCAACACTCCGCTGGATTCAAGTTGTCGCATCGTCTGCAATCCGTCAAACATTAATGGTTTCTTCGCCGGGTGTGGCTTAATGCATCGGATCCAGTGAGGATTCGTGGTGTTTATGACCCCCATGAGAGCATCGAGTTGCCCTCGAAAGACAGCGCCAACGGTCAGTCGTTTGCCGCGTGTTTCAGGAGGTAACGGAGCCTCCAGAAACTCGCGAATGAGTGGGTCTTGTGAATTCCGCATCATTCGTTTCACGCCGTCTTTGAGGGTGTCACGGTTCTTCTCAAGCCAGCCATTCACGTCATAAGTGACACTCGCAGCGTAGTGATGAATAATGAACGTGTCACGACTCACCTTCTTCTTTTCAAAGAAGGAATTCTTCCCCGTATGTGCCTGATCCAATTTCTCAAGGAACGCAAGCTCGCTGCCCTTCCCGAGTGTACATTCCTCGTTAAGCAAGGCAAAAATACCGCTCTTGCCCACGATAAGCTGCAGACATGGGGAGTTGTCGGGGCATGTCACCTCGGTGACATCAATGCCCTCCTCGCGACATTCATTTATGTCCCTCTCAAATATGTACTTGTTGTAGTGGTTTTGAAGTGTCTCGTTCGTCAGGTTGATGCAGAGCTGCTCAAAGCTGTTTTTTGTGAAGTCCTCAAATCCAAAGATGTCCAAAAGACCAATCCAGTTTCCCGACACCGCCACATCACACATCCGATTGCACTTGTCAACAAGCCAGCCAAAGAGACCGTCGTACAGGGCCTTCACAAGGGCATCGCGTGCGTCCAGTGCAAGGGTTGGCCGCAACAACTTGATGGTTTCGTTCTTTTGTACAACCAGTGTTGTGGTTACCATCTCCTTCCGTAGTGTCGCTTCTTCTATACGCCAGAGACGCACAGCATCCTTTAGGTATTTTTCGGTTGCTTGTTGCACCTGCGCTCCTTCCCCATCTGCGTCAAAAGTGACGTTCAGCAATGAAAGAATACCGCCGACGCACCTCCACAACGAATGGACTTCCTCGTCACTTATGCCAATCTTCGTCATGGCTCCAATGACCTCGTTGTATTCCTTAGCAGTGTTGTACTCCGAGTTTTGTAGACACCTCCCCGCATTCAGGCTCTTGTACGCGGTATCGGCCTCAAGCCACAGCGTCTTGCCCATTGTTCCTCGGACCAGAAGGTAAAAACTGTGGTAGACACGCTCTTTCTCTGCGGCAGTAACAATGCGAGATTTTTCTAGCAAATATTTTGTTGTCTCCGCCCCGACGAGTTGGCCCTTCTCGTTAAATTTCACCCGCATGAACTTGCCAAAGCGGGAGCTATTGTCATTACGAACAGTTCGGGCATTCCCAAAACACTCCAAGATGGGTGAGCAGGCATCCAACTTCGCACCCACCTCGAGACTCCTCGCCTTTTCATCTTCCGTGCCTTCCTTGCATGACACCTGCGCGAGATACTTCATCACAATCTTTGTCGTCTCCGTTTTTCCTGCTCCAGATTCCCCAGAGACAATAATGCATTGATTCACCCGATCGGAGATCATATCGTAATAAGTGTTGTGTGCCTGCGCCCAAGAGTGTGGCAGGTTTTTCTCAATCACGGGGCCCTCTTGCAGGTAATTCACCATTTGGCTGTCTTGGTACCACGGGATCGTATAGTTAAAGGGATTTATCGCCACCACAATGGCTCCAATGTTCGTATAGATGACGTTACGAAAATAACGAAGGTACAGGCAGCGTAGTAACGGGGCATCGTGCAGCACGGTGAGCGCAAGAAGATCATCCGGTTCTTCGTCCAGCAGGTCGTCCCGGCAGGCGGCGACGCGGTCCCCCGTCACATCACTAAACACCTCGCCCACACACTTCCGCTCACTGTCACTTGTCTTCACCACGTACCCCCTCGCATCCCTCGCTATGACGCGGGAAACAACCCACGACTCCAGGGGGTGCTTGAAGAAACAAAGAGAGCCTACATCAAGTGACATCTTCCTTTCGTGAAATAAAAAAACAAACAAAAAACAAAATGTATTTACCGCAAAACCGGTAAAACATACGTGGCAACATCAATTAAATTGTACTTGCCAGGATCAGAACAAAAACCCTACAAGAACAAAAGTCATATACCTCAAAAGATAGGAGTGGGCGTAAACACACAACGACTCCATAGCTTTCGATGAATAAAATGTAGTGCCCAATTCGAAGAGCAGCAGCAGCGCCTCATGTCAAACTCCATAACAATCACTCAAACCAAACTTGTTATTTCCGGCCGTCCACCAAAACAAAAACAAAAAAAATAATGAGGAGGTCATCCTCATTTCTAGCCTCAATGGGTATCCTGTGAAGCGGCATCGATAGATACAGCCACCAAGGGACCTGTAACTTTGAGGCGTGCGAGGGTTTCAGTGCGCTCTCCCACGGGCAATTCCGCCGTTGGTGCAATGAAACATCGTGCTCCACAAAGGTGCAAACCCACAATTTTCTTTTATTGCGCATACGCGCACCCCACACCTACTGCTCAGTGGGTTTTGTCTCATCAAACGAACAATCGGGTGTATAATCAAAATCACACAAAAATAACAGGCACAACAAAGCCTTATACCAAGAACACTGTCAGCACAACAGGATTAGAAATTAAACGGAGAATGCGACACACAGCCCGGGAAGCACACTCCGGGACGACAGAGGAGGCGAGGTGGTGCACCGTGGCACAGAGAGACAGAGAGGGAGAAGGCGGCGGAGAGGGCCGTGGAGAGAGGGGGCGCGTCAGTCCCGTGCCTGTTGTAGGTAGCTGGGTGCACGGAGGTGTAACTCATCGTCACGGTCATACAAATGCCTCGATTGATCGCATCATGAAGTCGTCAGTCGCCCTGCGCGTTCCACGCCGTCGGTGCTGCTCTTGCGGGCCCGATTGAGACAGTCACGGCACAGAAATGATGATATACGGCCGCCGCCTCACCCACGGAGCACGCTCCACTCACGCACGCACAGCGCTCCTTCCCCTCCGCGCAATGGCCGTGGAATCTGGGGCAGCACTCACACCGCAGAGGTGGTGGTGGCAGTGGGGTAATAAAAAACGAACGGCCGGTCCATCCCGCGAGAGGGCAGCCGAGCAAAACATCCTAAGCAACAAGAGAGGCAACAAAAAGAAGAAACAGGCAATCGGGCTAGACCCGCCTCCACTCCAAAAACACAACACACCTACCGCCCCAGAGCGCTGAAACATCCCCAGTGAGCCCAGCAAGAAGGAAGTAAAGCACCCGCACATCCACTCGGTGCCCGTCCACAAAAGAGAAAAAAAGAAAAACCTATTATCAGGCGCCTCCGCCATCACCGAAAAAAGACTTCTTTCAAAACCCTCGGCGCGTTTTCACGGGATGTCGCAGTGCGCAATAATAATAGTAAAAGAAAAATATTGGGAAATGGGGAAGAAGTCAGCTCCCTGCGCTGTCGCTCCGCCAACACGCCTCCGAACACACAGATGCACCACAGCCAGAGGGGATGCACGACTTCAGCACCGGTCATTTCCAAAGCAAAAAAAAAAAAAGGAAAAACAAGAAAAAAAAAAGAAAAAAGAAGGAAAGAAAATGTCCGAGCTCCTATAGCAAAAGGACTCCAAGAGAGGCCCATGGAGCAGGGGAGGTGCGGTGTCGGCAACAGGTACGGGTCAGGGTGCGACAATCACCGTGCCGATCACAATGAGGAGGAGGAGAAGCGGCGCAGAAGTGACCGCCAGAGCGCTGCCATCGTTATTTCTGACCATCGCAAGGTGTTTCGGGTGGCTTTCCACGTCGGTGCTGCTCGCATCACTGTGCTTCAACATGGTGAGGCAGACATCGCTGAACAAGGGGCATCTTATGCTGCCCGCCGTGAATGGCGCCGGGGGCGTCAGCGTCTGACCCGGTGCACAGGGATGCCACTCCTCGCTGCCCCTGTACCGCACACTTAGCGTGCCCTCACCACACCTCAACTGCACGCACACGTCACCAACAACCGTACTGCCCATCCGGAGGTTCTCCCCAGTCAAGCAGCGCGAGGACGGGCCAACAACGCTCCCAGGCATGATGGCCTCGTCGCCATCCATGCACCCAGTGCCATTCATTGGCGCGATGAAGGGGCAGTACTCCATCATGGCCCCTCGCCTGGAGCCCTGCTTGGTGGCGAAGTACTGGAACTCCGGTGGGATGTTATCGTCCTGGTAAATTGCGCAGGTCCCCAGCGACTGGCGGTCAGACGTGCACCGCAGAGTGGCGTCGCTCGAGTCGGTGCAGAACATATCAGGGTACAGCGTGGCACCGTCCGTCACGCACTTGTCGGTCAGCAGCGCGCAGCCGGCTCCGCTGCCCCAGCTCATCGGCTCCGCCATCTCGAAGTTTGCCTTGTAGTAGCCGAGGTCGGTGAACAGCGCCATCGTGATCGCGGTGTAGTAGCCGGAAACAACGAAGCTCGCCATCAGCTCATCCTTCGCGTTCCGCCGCCCCCAGTGAGACATCAGGCCAAGCCACGAAGGCGGCCTCCACTGCTTCTCCACCACCGTGAGCGTGGTGCCCGTTGAGAGGGTTCCGTCCGCCGCTGCCTGCGTTGATGCGGAAATATGTTGGACCGCACGCAGCTTGAGAGTTTGCGCGCTTCCTGCTCCTGCGCCTGACCTCGCTGGTTGCTCAGCAGCTCCTCTTCCTC